ATGACTTTAAAGTTGTTATGCAAGATTACTGTTTGTGTCGAATTCTAATTAGCGTTTTTGTAATTATTTCGAACTACTCCCTCCGGTCTAAAATAAGTGATTTTTTAACTTTTTTTCTTGTGGTCTAAAATAAGTGATTTTTCTAAATTTCAAGAATGAATTAATTATTTTTTTCCTGCATTGCCCTTGGAGTAATTAACGTTGGAGTATGTATTAAGAGTGTTTATGTGAAGAGACAATAAAGATTAATATGGTCAATTTCATTGCTAATTAATGTTAAAGAATGAATTTCTTAATATGTGTGAAAACAACCAAAAAATCACTTATTTTGGACCGAAGGGAGTAATGTTTTAGTTGGAGCATTGAATTGTTGTATTTGTGAAAGATATGTTGAGAAACATTGAATCGTAGCACATGAAATGCCTATGCTAGAGTGCTTTTACAACTGTTGCCTCGACTGTGGAAGGCTTTTCACATAAATATATTATATTGATTGGTAATTAAGTAACTTAGTTTTTGACTTAAAAAAGTAACATAGCTGAATCAAAAGTCATGAATAGAAGAAAATTTCAAAATTGTCAATTTAGTGTCAATAATTTGATATTCAAAACTCATTCATCATATGGAAAATCAGGTGTTGTTAGTCCATACGGAGCAGTGCCAACTTATTTTATTTGTAAAAGAAAACTGATTTCATTTTTCTTTTCAGTAAACGGAATTAGATATTTAAGTATCTGATTTCTTAGTCCGCATACTTTTCCATTCCGTTAGTGACATCTCCTTCATGAGTCCCAAATTATAACTCTTGTATTTCGGTGACTGATTCGTATATGAATGTCAATCATCATTCCCAAGCCTCATCAGTGGTTTTTCATTTTTGTTTTTGTCTATTTAGATTTTTCTTAATTTTAACTATGTGTTAGTCGCTAACTAATGGAAATGGAGGACTACTGTTAAAAAAGACTGAATAGAATTACCAGTTAAAAGTTTACAACAATTCTTATGAGCTTGCTTTGCTTCCCAGTCTATCGGGAGTTCATCTAGTTTTCCACGTGTCTATGCTCCGGAAGTATCATGCTGAAAGATCATACGTGTTAGACTACAACACGGTTCAGCTAGATGAGAGCCTGGGTTATGAGGAGGAGCCAATTTCCATTGTTTACAGGCAGGTTCGCCAGTTAAGGTCCAAGAAGATTTCTGCAGTAAAGGTTCACTGAAGGGGTCAACCAATCGAGGAGGCGACTTTGGAGACCGATGAGGACATGCAGAGTAGATACCCTCACCTATTTGTTACTCCAGGTAATATTCTAGACTCGTTCAAGGACGAACATTTGTTTAGGAGGTGGAGAATGTAATGACCCGATCGGCCATTTTGATTTCTAGATCCCCGTTCCCCTAATTAAAACTCCCCGTATGTGCTTTTACTGTTTTATGACATTACTTAATTCCTTATAGTGGCTTATAATGGTTAAGTTTGACTTTAGTCAACGTTTTGAACCGGGATTTGACGGTTCCAATAGGTTCGTATGATGATTTGGACTTCGGTATATATTTGGATCGAGTTTCGGATGACCTGGGAGCGTTTCAGCGCTTAATATTGAAAGTTGATGCTTTGAAGGTTTTCAAGTTCTTTAAGTTTGGTTTGGAGTAGGTTTTGGTGTTATCGAGGTCCGTTTGGTATTCCGAACCTAGGAATAGTTCTGTATGGTGATTTAAGACTTGCACGAAAAATTTGGCGTCATTCCGAGTAGTCTAAATATGTTTCGACGCGTTCGAAGCTAGTTAAATAGTTTGAAGTTTATAAGTTGATTCAATTTGGTTTTAGGGTGCGATTCTTAGTTTCGATATTATTTTATGTGTTCCGAGAGTTTGAGCAGGTCCGTATTATGGTGATAGACTTGTTGGTGCAGTTGGACAGGATCTCGGGGGGCTCGGGTGCGTTTCGGACCGCTCGGAGCTAAGTCTAAACTGCTGGTATGCTGGTTCTGGTTTCCTTCTTCGCGAACGCAGAAGGACCCTCGCGTTTGCGATGAAGGATTTGGAGACTGGACGCTTTTGCTCTTCGCGTTCGCGAAGAAAGGGTCGTGTTCACGGAGGCTTGGAACCATTGGCCTTCGCGTCCGCGGTTGACTCGTCGCGTTCGCGTAGAAAACCTGAGCCTGGGCCTGGGAAACTCTGTTGCCTTTCACGTTCGCGAGTGGAGACACGTGTTCGCGATGAGTGGGCGGCTTAGTGAATCATGCTCGCGAGTGACTTCTCGCAGTCGCGAAGAAAACCTTTTCTGGGTTTGTGAGTTTTGCCTTCGCGATCGCAAGGGCTTGTCCGCGATTGCGAAGAAGGCTGACCTGGGCAGTGACTTAATAAAAATTGGGATTTTGGCCATTTTGTTCACTTCTCTCGTTTATTGGCTGATTTTGGATCTTTTTAAAGAGGGATTTTCACCTAGCATCTTGAGGTAAGTGTACTTTATACAATGTGAGTTTAATACTAGATTATGGGTAGATCTTAACATGAAAATTGTAGAATTTTATTATTTTGTTGAAAAATCTAGGTTTTGATAAAAATAAAATTTAACCTCGAAAATGATTATGGAATTGGGTGAAAATTATATATTTGAGTTCGCAAGGTTATGGGTAACATTTATCTTCGAAAATTTTCGGAATTCGGGCACGTGGGCCCGGGGTTAATTTTAAGAATCTTCCAATATAGGTTGGGTAATTACTCTAATAGCTAATTTATGAACTTATGAGTGTATATTGATTAATTTATATAATATTTGGCTAGCTTCGAATTGTTCGACACTAAGTTGAGGCCATAGAGTGAATTTGTGGGCCGGAAAGTGAGCTTTGAGACGAGGTAAGTCTCTTGCCTAACCTTGCAAGAGGGAATTTACCCCATAAGTATTTTAAATTACCATTTGCTTCTATTTGTGGGGGCTACGTACGCACGAGGTGACGAGAGTCTGTGCATAGCTACAAATCATGCTTAAGTCCGGGTAGTTTTAGGTCCCAAATCATGAAATACTTGTATTGTTGCACTTTACTTGTTAATTTAAGTGCCTAAATTATATTGGAACTTGTTAAAGGATTCGTAAAGACCGAATTTCACTTACTTTGAGTTTTGGCAGGTTACTTGGCCGTTAATAGAAATTGTACTTCCTTGTGTATTAGTCTTGTGATAGCTTTTAAATCAGATGTTCATAGAGTATTCTCTCTTCTTGTGGAGCGGGCGGAACGCCTCGGCAGTATAATAGATACATCTATGGTTCGTGTCGTTCGACCCTTGGCAGTATACACATTATTCTGGATCGGACCGTACGACCTCGACATAAATCGTGCATGATAATGCTTGGAGCCCTAATACACTTGATATTATTTTTATGACTTGAAAGGTTATAATTTATTTAATGTCCTGAAATTGTTGAAGTTAGCTTGTATCAGTTGGAAATTTTTAAATTGACTATCAGTTAAAGAACCATTTATTCATTGCTGGTTATTGTATTATTATTATTATTATTCATGTATTCCATGCCTATTTAGAATTTATAGATTTTAATTGTTGGTCATAGTAAGTGTCGATATCGACCCTTCGTCATTACTTCTTCGAGGTTAGACTGGATACTTACTGGGTATATGCTGTTTATGTACTCACGCTACACTTCTGCATTAATCGTGCAGGATCTGAGGCAGGTGCATCTGGCAGTCATTCAGGCGCGCACCCCCGTTATCCCGAGGTATAGTGGTGAGTTTCTCTCTGAGTCCGTTCTGCACCAGCATTCTCTCTTTTGTATTTGCTTTCTGTCTATCTTATTTCAGACAGTAACATAGGTGTTTTGTATATTCTACTAGTTGCTCATACACTTGTGACACTAGATCTTGGGAATATGTTAGTAGACACTTTTATGGATTTTGAGTATTTATTTCTCCATATTTGCTCTTTCATTAGTCCACGCTTTACTTTACTATAATTTTTCATTTCTCATTTACTTAATAAATAAAAATTAACTACTTTGAAACTATTAAAAGGAATAAATATATGGTTAGTTCACCGTTGACTTGCTTAGCGGCGACGTTGGGCGCCATCACGACCTAGAGGGGAAATTGGGTCGTGACACTCTCGACAAGCCATAAAACCGACTTCACTGGTTCTGGCAAAGAAGAAGCGTTATCAATAATAATATAACTTGTCAGGCTTTTCCCGTAATTAGCTAACTGGTCAGCATCCATATTGCCTTCTCTGTGGATATGAACAAAAATAAAATTACCACTGCTAGAGAGATGGACAATCTGATCAATGATGTGCTGAATATGCCAGGGGGCCTTCAATTTCGTAATTAATCGTGTTAATAATCAGTTGAGAGTTAAATTCCACAATCACCCTAAATAGGCCTTTACTAATACACAATTTTATGACATGGAGCAAAGCTTTAGCCTTCGCCATATTATTACTTTCCTGGCCGTAGTACTCAGCATAGGCCAAAATAAAATACCCCGGGTTATCTCTAATGACACTCCCTCTTCCAGAGCCACTCGGATTTTCTTTGCAACAACCATCAATATTCAGCTTTAGCCAACCATTAGCAGGCTTCTTCCAGCGAACCATTTGAATACTTACAGCTTGTTTAGCTTTTTCCACAACAATGCACGTATCATTCCAATTCAAAGGCAACTGGACATCAATGAAACACACAATAAATCTTTTGTATAATTTGGTCATTTAGTCAAAATATAGAAATAAAGAATTTAACAATAGAAAGTATTTTATCCTGCTTAATACACTTATTAGTCACTTCCCCTATATGAATTTAAATTGATCGAACTAATTACAAAAAAGAATGATGATATCACAACAAGCAATCCTGACCCTTGAAATATAACTTGGCTCCTTCCTTCGAACTTGACCGTCCATCTGTCACCTTTTATATATCAGCTATTTTTTAAGTACTGTATCATTTTCAGAGTACATGCCTTTTAATTATTTCTAGACCTTAGCACATATACACGTGTCCCCTTACATAACTTTCCTAAATCCCTTCCATTTCTCCCTTTCACCTTCGGGTTCCTTACAATTCTGATTGACCTTGCTCTCAATTGAGCGACGAAGTTCGGAGACTCACTCTCAATGTATCCAATTCTACCAAAATCTTGGCCCAAAACAAAAAAAGAAAGAAAAAGGAAAAAAGAAGAAGAAGAAGAAGAAGAAGAAGAAGAAGAAGAAGAAGAAGAAGAAGAAGAAGAAGAAGAAATGCAATTTGTTATACGGTTATACTCCATCTTATGTTTCAAACCCTGGCGCGCGCGAGCTAGTTTTCTGTGTATATATATAGCGCTGCAGATTAGAAAGCAAGTCAGGTGTCAATTCCTCACCGACGGCTTCCCAATTTTCAATTTCTGTTAAGTCGCCATTTTCCACTACTCTCTTTTCAAAATGTTGAACAAGAACTGGGCTTTAATGGCGGTTTTCTCATTCCTGGTTGCCTGCATTGTGACAACAATGGCAGCGCATGCAGAGATTGCCCTAGGAAGTGCCTCTCGTCTTAGTATGCCCCTCAGATATGGTTATTATGATGAGAAATGCGAAGATATTGAGAAGATTGTGGGGTCAACGATGCAGAGAATTGTGCAGCTGCAACACAACGTCCCAGCACAACTCTTACGCCTTCTTTTCCATGATTGTTTCATCCGGGTATGTTTACTCTCCATTTTCTGAATCCTTGATTAAATATATTCAATTTTATATTTTTTGTTGTTTCTTTCCCAAATTTTAGGTGCTCTTGTATGTGCAATGATGTTCTTCTTTTCGTACTCTTTATTTCTATTTTCTTGTACGTATGCAGTTTGCTGACTCTTGATATGTACATCATTTATTGGGGGTTTTCAGAGTTTTATGGGATTATAGTATTATTCATTTAATTTTTCTCATCACTCTAGAAGCATATTTGTCTGTTCATGTATCTATTGTGCGCACGCCTACGTATAATCTTTCTTTTTGAAAATTTAAGCATGATTAAATCAAGAAAACGACTTAGAACCTTTTATAATGAAGCAGAGGAAGGGGATTGAAGAGGCTTGCAATCGTATTATTGGAGACTAAGGTCTTACACTGTCAACTCTACTGATTCACTTTAATTTTTTTGGAAGCAAGTCTAATTCTTATTATCAAGAAAATGACGATAATTGATCTGTTTTGTGTCTTTCCTTCTGTTATTTGATGCAGTTCTTAGCTTTTTTGGCTGTACAATCTCAAATGCATGTGTCCGCTATCTGAATACAAATACGTACTTCCAGCATGTATTCTCTGTTAGACTGTTATACCCCATGCATGTATTCGGATGTGACTTCATTTTATGTATTTCTCTTATACGTTTGTAGACATTTCTTTTATAGTTAGCCTTGTGATGTTTGTTGTGTTGCATTGTGTTAACTTTTTGTGCCGTCTCTTAGTCTTTTGTACTAAGGTCCTTAACTTCTTCATCCTCCCTATTTTCAGAAGTGTGTTTTTACTTATTTCAAATTATTTTCTCTATGTTGATTTATCTATACTGGTTTTGTCCATGAATATGTGTATTTACAATACTTTTGTGGATTTTGTATTTTTCCATATTTGGCATTGGATCCTAATGCGCGCACGATCTTGATTTGTGCATGGTGCATTTGTATTTTTTCATATTTTATTTCTTTGATCACTTGTGGATGCTTCTTTCTTTTTAATTAGATGTGTGATCTTGATTTGTGCATTGTGCACTGTTATTCTTCATATGTTGTAATGTGTCTTTGTGCATTGTGTTCGTCGTCTGATTCAAGATGTAGGTTTTAAATGATCCAATTTGGTCTATTGCTTTCTCAGTTTTGAATGCGTACATAAAGATAAAAACATGTACTGCTCTTCTCACTAGTTTCAGCAGATTCGCTTATTCAGTTTTGGTTTTTTTTTTTTTTTTTTTTTAATGTATATTTGCCTGTAGTCATATTCCTCTATGTGTGTACCCACACCCATTTTCCCTCTTTTCCTATGGGTAATAAAAAGAGGATGAGATGGCATTACTTCTGAAAAGGTAGAGGTGAGCTTTTAGAGTCATAAGGGAGTCAAGAAATGATATTAAGCAAAAGAAGGATCTCGGAGCAGATTGTGAAAACAGTTCCAGACAATGACTTTATTGTCTTTTTTTTTTTTTTTTTTTTTTTTTTTTTTTTGATAAGGTAGAGTTTCCAGACAATGAGTTTTCTGTTTTATTGATTTTTCAAGGTTGTGATGCCTCTGTTCTTCTAGCTGACAGTAATGAGAATGGGACTGTTGAACGTGAGGCCATCCCGAACAGAACATTGAAAGGCTTCGATATAATTGACATGATAAAGGATGAGATTGAGGAAGAATGCCCAAGGATTGTCTCTTGTTCTGATATCCTTGTCCTTGCAACAAGAGATGGCATCGTTCTGGTGTGAATTTGCCCAATATCCTTTGTTTCTTATAGTCCAGCACCTTAAGTTTCTTTGCTGATTTCCTTATTCTTACTCTTAATAGTACTTACTTTCTATTTTACATGGATCTGTTTCGTGATCCTGTTCAAGGTGCAACTGGAGAGTAGAATCATAACCAGGGCACAGTTCTGGAAATATGGGAATATTCATAACCAGTGCATCATGGTATCTTCTAGCGGTGCGAACCAAATTGGCATTTCAACATCAAGTTTATATCTTTAAACTATTATGTCTTTGAAATAGTTTAGTTAAATGATCTTGTAGTGCATATTCAGATATCTAGGACATAATAGAATGCTTTACACCTCTTAGAGGTATCATATAGTAGTTAACAGGGCACACTTCCGAAAATATGGTGCAATATTTATAAACAGTGGATTATATCTTCTAGTTTTGCGAACAAATTGACACTTTATCATCAAGTATTATATCTTTAAGCTTTAAGTATCAAAAAGTATTATGTCTTTAAGCTTTCCCTTTCACATGCTGTTTTTGTACATTTTAGGCTGGTGGTCTATACTATCCTGTGCTTATGGGCAGAAGGGACAGTAAGGAGTCATTCTTTGATGAGACAATGGCTGAAATTCCACGACCAAATGGGAATATCACTGAAACTCTTAGGCTGTTTTCGCTCAGAGGATTTGATGAGAGGGAAACAGTGGCACTACTTGGTATATCTTCTAATCCTACTAATTTAATTTTCATATGATGGAGTCTGTATCCTCTTTTGGAGCACATGTACATCTTTTAAAATTTCTCTTCTTTTTATTTTCTTCATCATCTGAAGGAGGACATAACATCGGGAAGATTGGTTGTGAATTTATTCAGCTAAGGTTCAGTAATTTTATGGGGACAGCTATTCCTTCTGGTTTCCTTGAAGAGTTGATGCAGAAGTGTCCAGACGATAACAGCACCATCACAAAAATGTTCAATGAACATACCGCAAGGGGTCTGAGTGAGTCTGCTATGTCATACTCTCAGGGACTGTCAGCACTTTCCTCGTTTGGAACTTCATTTGATAATCACTACTACAAGACTTTGATGAGAGGACGAGGGCTGCTGTTTGCTGATCAACAGTTGATGGCTAATGAAAAGACGGCAGCAGTGGTGATGGATTATGCGTTGGACGAGGGGACTAAATTTAGGACTGAGTTTGCTCATGCCATGGATAAATTGTCAAATATTGGCGTCCTTACTGGATTCCAAGAAGAAGTTCGGCACAGTTGCTCCCATCTCAATTCCGATCAATGAGAACTACCTGGGAGGAGTAGACTGACTTAAAGTTTCTCATGCTTTACATCTGTACGTACAAATATGTGCGTCAATATAATATTCTGCTTTTAAGGTACATATACTACTAAAAGAAATAGGTTTCAAATCAAGAAGAAATTCAAGATTTTATTAAGAATTGTTAAATTTCTGGTATCACCGTTATCGATTGTGGAAAAATAATTGTAACATTTATGGAAACCCTTCCTTTTTCCTGAAGTTACGACGCAAAAATATATACAGGAAAACGGAACAGTTCGTTCATGCTATTTTTTCTTGAAGATGTTAATATCACGCATAAACAAGAGAATCATATACGGAAGAATTATAACCATGGAAACTGTAGACATTATTATCCAAGATTTCGTTTCTCTTAATTTCTTATGAAACATGGAATTATAATAACTCTAGTTGCGTGGATCAAAGAAAGATTTCCAACACAACATAGATGAAACTACATAATATATTTAGAATGAGCAAACTTTGTTTCGCAAACAAGAACAGAAAGAAGGTAAAAACCATACCTATTACTCTTTTGTTCTAAGCAAGCTGTTCATTCACTGATCGAAATCATATTTAAGAGGTACGGGACCGGGTTGTAGACTGATCATCGATAATAACCATCTATGTCTCGGTCCCGTATGCCCCTCAGATATAGCTTCAAACAATGAACTTGTTCTTCCTTTCAGCTAATCAATATACTACTAGGGTTAAAGTCACTATCCCTACATATAAGAAACTACCACCGCCTAATACATGGTAGCGTTTCTTTTCCGGAAAATATTAATACTTGTGACGCAGCACTTTCCATATACTCCATTATATACTGCCAGCCTCAGCCAATCCAACAACTCAGCCTTAATACAAAACTAGTTCGACATATGAAGCTTCTAATTTATTTTTATTTTTTTGGAAATTATATCAAAAAGGAAAATTATAACAATTTCCGACATAAGCAGTGACTGGTTTAGAGTATTTCATAATTTGAAGGGGGAAATTAATTGTTCAAGTTCATTTGAAGGTATCTTTTTTATTTGGCCCAATATAAATCAGAAAAATCTCAAACAGATTTAAATTGACATAGTTGTGCGGGCAATTGTATTGTGAATGCAAATACTAGTCGAACTAATTAACATATACACCACAAATTAAACAAGTTACAAAAGCATATCAGAAAAGAAAAAAAAAATTAAATGTCATTATTAGTTCTCATAAACTTGATTGGAATTCAAAACATACATTGAATACTACGCTGGAGAGTCATATAACTAATAGGAAGGTCCTAAATCTATATCTATCTATATCTATATCTATCTATCTATATATATACTATATTAAAAGCACCAATGCCCTTAGCAAAATATCGTTCGCATTTTTTCCCCTTTTAAAATATATTTCATATTAGATAAAATTGTAATTTAAATTACAATCCTAATTTTTAGGACTTTAAAATCAACTACAATTTTGCTTATTTAACTTTTTCCTTATTGAACTAGGTAGAAAATCCTAATATTTAGCCCTTTAAAATCAATAAGAGTTTTACCTTATATAAATTTTCTTATAAAAACGTTAGAAACTACTATTATTAAGCTAAGTTATACAAGTCAAAAACACAATGGCTTTAATAACACAAAAGATCCAAAGCTTACATATGATTTGTTTATTGAAAATAGAATTCTTATTACATAAAGTTATAATTACTGTTGAATATCTTAAGGAGTTGAATTAACAAAAAGACTAAGTTACTTCTTTAATATTGAGAGCAAATAATTAAATCTTTGAAATAATTAATTAGCAAAAGAATTCAAATCAATTTTTTTTTTTCAAATTTATCATATAAGTAAAATTATTTAACAAGTTGAAAAACTCTTAAGATACATAAATTTATTTTTTTATAAGAAGTGCACTAGCGGTGAAAGAAATAAAAACTAAAGCAGAATCGATTATAGTGATAAAAATATAAATTTGAAGAAATAAGGATAAAATAGTAGAAGACAAAATATATTATAAATGAGTTGTCAGTTCATTTTGCTTTTTTTCTTGCGTTCAGTAAAAAATGACAATGGTTGTATAGTTTTTTATATTAAGTTATTTATATTAAAATATTTATTCAACACAAGTCATTTGTTAAAAATTTACATTGTCGTTACCAATCGTGTAGGATATATACGCCAACCTTTTTCGTTCTCAAATTCTTAATAGACTAAAAGATTCATTTTTTGTAAATTTTTGTTATTTGAAAAATCTATAAAAATTATGATAAAGGTATTTTTATGTTTTGTGTTTAGTATTAGGTCAGATAAATAACAATAATTTTCACAAGATATTTCTCCATAAATCTTCATAAATCACAATAAGACATTGTAAAGTTTTATAAGCTAAGATTCTTCTTTTTTTTTTTTGGGTCAAAAGTTTCTTCATTTTTTGAGATACGTACATGGAAAAAATTATCATTTAAGGATTTTTTAACTTTTATTTTTTAATTTTATATAATTTAAACAAATATAATACTTACATGATATTTTTAAAATTATGTATTTAATGATATGTTTACACGCGCAAAGCGCGTATCCTAAAACTAGTACTATATTAAAAGCACGAAGCCCCTTAGCGAAATATTGTTCGCCTTTTTATCTTTTAAAATTATATTTTATATTGGATATAATTGTCAGTTAATTATTTTTCTAATTTTTAGGACTTTGAAATACACAATTTTTTTAATTATTTAGTGATTCCTTATTTGAACTATGTAACAATTTCTAAAATTTGAAATTTCGAAATCAAATAAGATTTTACCAAATCGACTGAACCAATTACTATTTTATTTCCCATTTAATTATTGTACGTTTTTGTGTGTGTTTATGTGACTTTCTTTTTTTTAATTTTTGTCATAGGTTTTTTCTTACACTAGTCTTAGAATACGCGCTTTGCGCGTGTACCCATGTCATGAGTAAAAAGTTTTAAAAATCACATAAATATTATTAAAAAATATTAATAATTTTGTAAATAAGTAAACTAGTCTTACTTTTGTAAATAATTCACATTAAAAATAATTTTCTAAAGAAGTCAGGATGGTTCTTTTCTTATATGGAATTAAAAATAAACTTGGCACTTTCTGAGAAGAAATTAAATTATGTTCAAAGTAAAAACACGACATTTCTGCAATTCAAAATATAGATAAAAGGGGGTAAACAAAGTCCATAATTTCGTTTGGCAATCAACTAAGTTTTTCCATAACAATTTTTTTTCCTTTTTAATTAGAATATCTCTCTTTAGAAATATTTGAGTTTTCTGCAAGTTTGATAAAAATAAATGGTGATCCCAACTAGCTCAGTAATGAGAGAAATATTGATCATAGAAGTCATTTGGGCTGACCAATGCCGAGCAACATTTATGCATTTGATGCACAATGTGTTCTAGCTTTGTCATTGTCTTTATTGATGACATTCTGGTATACTCTCGGAGTCAGGAGGATCATGAGTAGCACTTGAGGACAATGCTTCAAACTTTGAGAGAAAAAAAGTTATATGTGAAGTTCTCGAAATGTGAGTTTTGGTTGGATTCCGTGGCATTCTTGGGTCACGTAGTGTCGAGTGAGGGGATCAAGGTGGATCCGAAGAAAGTGGAAGCAGTGCAGAGTTGGCCCAAACCATCCTCAACTATAGAGATCCGTAGTTTTCTTGGTTTGGTGGGTTATTACCGTCGGTTTGTTGAGGAATTTTCGTCTATTGAAGCACCTATGACCAGGCTGACCCAGAAGGGTGCTCCGTTCAGGTGGACGAAGGAGTGTGAGAAGAGCTTTCAAAAGCTCAAGACAATTTTAACTACAACCCCTGTATTGATATTGCCCACAGGTTTGGGGTCTTATACAGTCTATTGTGATGCCTCGAGGATTGGCCTTGGAGCAGTATTGATGCAGGACGATAGGGTGATTGCCTACACGTCCAGACAACTGAATGTGCATGAGAAGAATTATCCTGTCCATGATCTCAAGTTAGCTGCTATTATTCACGCTCTAAAGATCTGGCGTCATTATTTGTACGGTGTTCCTTGTGAGATTTATACTGATCACCGGAGTTTGCAGCATCTGTTCAAGCAGAACGACTTTTTTCGCGCCAAAGGAGGTGGTTAGAGCTACTGAAGGACTATGACATCACTATCTCATGGTGGCCGATGCTTTGAGTCGCCGGGCGGAGAGTTTGGCTTATCTACCAGCAGAAAAGAGGCCCATGGCAATGGATGTTCAGGCCTTAGCCAACAAGTTTGTGAGATTGGATCTTTCGGAGCCCAGTCGGGTACTTGCTTGTGTGGTTTCTCGGTCTTTCTTGGTTGATCGTATCCGGGAGCGTCTGTATGATGACCATCATTTGCTTGTCCTCAAGGACAAGGTTCTACATGGTGATGCCAGAGATGTGATCATTGGTGATGACGGGGTATTAAGGATGCAGGGTGGGGTATGTGTACCCAATGTTGATGGGCTTCGGGAGTTGATTCTAGAGGAGGCCACAGTTCGCAGTATTTCATCCATCCGGGTGTCGCGAAGATGTACTTGGATTTGAGGCAGCACTATTGGTGGAGGCAGATGAAGAAAGATATAGTTGGGTTTGTAGCTCGGTGCCTCAATTATCAGCAGGTGAAGTATGAGCACCAGAGACCGGGTGACTTGCTTCAGCAGATAGAGATTCCAGAGTGGAAGTGAGAGTGGATCACCATGGACTTCGTAGTTGAACTTCCATAGACCTTGAAGAAGTTTGATGCCATATGGGTGATTGTGGATTGGCTGACCAAGTCCGCACACTTCATTCATGTGTGTACTACCTATTTTTCAGAGCGGTTGGCTGAAATTTATATCTAGGAGATTGTTCGCATGCATGGAATTCCAGTTTCCATCATTTCAGATAGAGGTACTTAGTTCACATCACGGTTCTGGAGGGCCGTACAACATGAGTTGGGTACTCGGGTGGAGTTGAGCACAACATTTCACCCCTAGACGGACAGGCAGTCTGAGCGCACTATTCAAATTCTTGAGGATATGCTCCGTGCATGTGTGATGGAGTTTAGAGGTTCTTGGGATCAGTTCTTGCTATTGGTGGAGTTTGCCTACAACAACAGTTATCAGTCCAGCATTCAGATGTTACCGTATGAGG